TAAATTAATAAAAATGTGTTTAATAAATTGACCAGGCTGGTCTTAAACTTGCAGTCCTCCTACCTCAGTGGCTTCAGTAGTTGAGAGTATGACAATGTCCAGCTGTCCTTAACAGTTTGTTTTTGTTGTTGATACCAGGAATTGAATTCAGGACCTTGCACTTGCTGGGCAGGTGCTGTGTCACTGAACTATATTCCTATCCCCTTGGCAGTTTTGAGGAGTGACTTTCAGCTCTGTAGGATGTAGTAGTGTTATGCAGAATGTCCCTCCATTGTTGTTTTTTTCTGCTGTCCTCTGGCCATGTGGGTTATGGATTTGAGAGGGAGACTATAAGCCTGATGTGTTTTTCTCGCTTCCTACCAGAGGCGCATGACGTCAGTGTTCATCAGTGATGTTGTCCTCAGCGATGCTTGCCTGGCTAAGGTTGTGTCTTCTCGGTTTGTTCACCATCCAATTACCACTTATCCTCTTCTGCATTCTGCTTTTCAGAAGCGAGTCACAACCTCCAGCCCACACTTCAGGCTCCCCACCATTTTCCCCAGAAGTCCTGTGTACCCACACATGTTGGGGGTTGCTGAGCTGCACTGTCAGCCCTGTGTCTACTGAAGACATTTAATGCTTGTTTCAGTACCATGCATAATATATGGAGGGGAAGATCTTTGTTCTTGGTTCCTCGGTCTCTGCCTTAAAGACCCCTACAAGAGGCTGCACCTAAGGACATTTATTTGTACCTAGACCTGAGTTAGATACCAAAATCCTGGGCTGTAGGCCCAAGTGGGATGCTGTAATGAGATGAGGTGTTGAGGTCTTAGCCGGTGGGAGGGGCCAGAAGGTAGACTGTAATTGGCTGCTTACCTCCCGTGGGTGGGCTCAACCCTACTTCCATCCTACCTATTCTTCTAAGACAGCACCTGTCTTCTTGTCACACCCCACTTTGGAAGCCAACAGAGGAAGGGCCTGCTGACAATGAGAAGCTTGAAGGGTGAGGGGTCATCTTGGACATTCTAGCCCCATCTAAGCTAGCTGGTAGTAGTCACATGAGTGATATCAGCTACACAAGTAGAGAGGAGCCACCCAGCTGAGCCCATCCAGTCCCCAAAAGCAGGAGAAAAAGATCAGTGATTTGTAAGGCCTTGCTTGCCATTAGAGTGCCTGTTGGTATAGCAATGAGGAATTGAAGCCCTGTCCTCAATTTGGTTGCCTACCTTGGCCTCTATAGGCCAGAATTAGACACTCTTTCCATACTGGCCTGGCAAGGTGTTTACCCCAGCACCTGAGCAGCAAAGCTCTGCTAGAGAAAAACAGACCTATACTTACTGGCTCTTCACATTTATGGCATACAGCTCACGTGGGCACCCCATGCTGCAGGCAATGCTATTGT